CTAACAAGGACACCCAGAGCGGTAATTGGGTTTATAGCCTTCCCAAGTCCTCTCCAGCCTGTCCAGGCCTGAAATTGGGGCTGGAGGCGGGTAACTGCTCCCTGAAGGATTTATTGTCAGGCAGCTTTAAAGGACCCTTGTATTGTTGGGTCCTTAAAAAGCATCTTGCAGAGCAGACTCTTCACCTTAGTATGCCATTCATTCATTCATTCATTCAGTAGATATTTGCCTTGCTTCCATTCTCCCTGCCTATGCTTAAAGCACAGATACAAAAATGAACAAGACACTATTCCTCCTCTCAAGTATATTACATGTTCACAATATAAACAATGGAAGATAACTGAATAGGATTTTCATTTCTTAGATCAGTTATGAGATTATCTACTCATAATAAATTACAACAATATGGATATCATCCATGTACATATACTTTGTTCTCAAGATTTTAAATTGCCTTGCTACAGAATATAGTAAATTCTTAGCCTTAGTGTGATCAACCCCTCTGGGCAGGGGACGTAACTGGCTTCAGTTTAATCTACTCCAGACTCATATATCCATTTGTATATGTTCTCTGAGTATATTTGTTATATATGTTTAATATATGTGTATTAAGAGTAGTAGTAATAAGGGTGAAAGTCCTCCTTTTGGTATTGAGGTCACTGTTAATCTAGCAGTCATGGAGTAGGCGTCATTTACTATCAACAGTGTGCCAGGTTGAACTGAGGGCTTTATATGCACTAGCTTTGTAGAGACGCGGTATAGGATGCTGGTCAACAGCAAGGCGTCTGGAGTCACACTGCCTGGATTCAAGTTTCAGCTCTGCCGCTTACCTGCCGCTTATTTGTAAACTTGAGCAGGTTATTGAACATCTCTGTGCCTCCCTTTTCTCATCTGCAAAATGAGGATAGTAACAGTATTTCTCTCAGAGGCTTGTGGAATAGATTAACTGAGTTAATAAATATAAAACTCTTAAAACAGTCCTTGGCACCTCTTAAGTGCTATTTTTTTTTCCTTTTTTTTTTTTTTTTTACCCCAAAGCCCCAGTAGATAGTTGTATGTTGTAGTTGCACATCCTTCTAGTTGCTGTATGTGGGACGCGGCCTCAGCACGGCCGGAGAAGCGGTGCGTTGGTGCGTGCCCGGGATCCGAACCCGGGCCGCCAGCAGCAGAGTGAGCGCACTTAACCGCTAAGCCACGGGGCCGGCCCCTCCACATCTTTAAATAAAGGGTTTATATGTGATGATTTGGAAAAGCTCTTCCATCTCAAATTCTATGATTCATACTTATTACAGTATTATTTTAGACAGGAGAATTTGCCTTTCCCACAGAAACGGTAAGCTCTAAAGTGGTCACCTCTGAGGATTTTTGAAGGTAAGTACTATGAGTAAAATAAACGTGTTTAACGACGTATGTAAATATATCCTATTTGCATATATAAAAATTGATGTATAAATAACATATGGTATACTTTCCTTAATTATTGAAATGTGAGAGTTATAAAATCTTAGAGTTTTGTAAGATATCTCTTTCTTTGGGAAAAGTACAGTGAACAATCTCCTTAGTTAACAAGGTCCTTATTTACTTTGTAAATCTCCTTTCAGTACAAGTATATGCTTAGATAGAGAAGAGATTAATTTAAGCATCTTTTCACTAATTACAGAGATTGAGAAGTGGCTGCCTGAACTATTTTCCAAAGGATAAACATTACAAAGCATTGAATCCGGCAGTTCACCAAGAAGCTCCCATTGGTTTGGGGGTAAGTAATTCTAAAAGTCATCTTTTCCTTAGACTGTCCCATGAATACTCTTCAGATGGGATGTGTGGCTCTCTGAAGATACCAGTTTAGGATGCAGTCAATTTAAGCAGAGATGATCCATTTATAGCATCTGCAGTTCCCAGTGACCTAGATCTATGGATGGCATCTGTCCTTAGTTTGATGTCAGTGTTGAAAAATGGGTTAGGCTGGCAGATAGGAAACCCTGCACATCTCTCTGTCTATAAACAATACAACATCCAAAGCTTTTTGAAAACTGTCCTAGAATTTTTCCTTTCAGCACATCTTATGCTTATTATAGAGAATCCTAGAATGTCTGAGCTGGAAGGGACCTTAGATTCGCTACTTGACAACAAATGTTTTTGTCACACTGTGAAAGCCGCTTGAGGTAGAAAGATGAATATGACAGAGTCCTTCCTCTTAGGGAGCATAGAGTCCACTAACAATCATTAAATCTGGTGTCCTCATTTATAGGTGGGGAGGCTGAGGCCCAGCGTGAGGAAGGGAGGAACTCAGGGATGCACAGTGAGCAGAGGCCGAGCTGGGGCCAGAGCCCAGGGCCCCTGATGCTACTCAGCGTCCTTTCCGGTGTGGTGTCCTTCTGTACTTGTTCCCTCTTCTTGTCAGGGGGTCAATTCTGGCAACTTCACAAAATGTAGGCTGGTCTTCTTTCTGGAAAACTCTATCTTTTTAACGGTAATGATATGATTGAGAGTACTTTGTGAGTTTTAGCTGCTGTTCTCCCTGTAGACCATCCTTCCTAGAGCTAGGCTGGCTGTGCCCATAAGAAACTCGTCTCCTAGAACTTCTTTAATGGAACCCCAGAAGAGATGGGGACCGGTACTCCAGCCTCTCCAAATACTTCCCTCCGCCCTCTGGCGTCTCAGGGAACAGCTAGGTGCAGAGGACACATGACCCAGAGTAGCTGAGATTAGCCCCTAGTCACATACCTTCAGTCTCAGCAGATGTCCCTGCTGGTCACATCTTCCGGTTTCTCTTTTTTTCTTTTCTCTGTTTTACCAGCAGCCAGTATAGGACCTGCGTGAATTAGGTGCTTAAGAGGTATTTCCTGAATGAGCATATGGATGAGTGTCTCTCTTTCTCTTTAATTCTAGCCTTCTTAGTTGTTGGGGATGATGCAAGTAAATCTGGAACACACTTAATAATTCTTTTTTTCCTAATATATCATCCATTATTGACATTATTTAAGTTCTAGGTCAGTGGTTCTGAAACTTTTTGGCCTCAGGACTCCCTTTCTTTTTTTTTCTTTTTTTATAATTTTTATTTATTTATTTTTCCCCAAAGCCCCAGTAGATAGTTGTATGTCATAGTTGCACATCCTTCTAGTTGCTGTATGTGGGACGTGGCCTCAGCATGGCCGGAGAAGCGGTGCGTCGGTGCACGCCCGGGATCGGAACCGGGCCGCCAGCAGCGGAGCGCGCGCACTTAACCGCTAAGCCACGGGGCCGGCCCAGGACTCCCTTTCACTCTTAAAAATTATTGGGGACCTCAAAGAGCTTTTGTTCGTGTAGCTTATAGATTGGGTTCTACTCTGCCACCTCCTGTTGACATTAAGACTGAGAAATTTAAAAAAATATTTACTTATTAATTCATTTTAAAATTATAATAATATGGGGCCGGCCCGGTGCTCCGGTGCTGTAGTGGTTAAGTTTGCATGTTCTGCTTTGGCGGCCTGGGGTTCAGTGGTTCGGATCCTGGGCATGGACCTACTCCCACTTATCAAGCCATGCTGAGGCCGTGTCCCACATAGAAGAGTTACAACTATGATACACAACTGTGTACTGGGGCTTTGGGGAGAAAAAAGAAAAAAGAGGAAAGAAATAAAATAAAATAATAATAATAAACCTATTGCATGTTAACATAAATAACATAATTTTTATGAAAAATAAATATACTTTCCAAAACACAATAAAATTTGGTTGGAAAAGAGTGATATTGTTTTACATATTTGCAAAACTCTTTAATGTTTGGCTTATACAGAAGACAATTGGATTCTTATATCTGCTTCTGCATTCAGTCTATTGCAATGTGTTGTTTGGGTTCAAGTATATGAAAAAAAGCAGGTCTCACAAAGAGACATAGTTGGAAAAAGGAGTATCTCACGGATTCCCTGAAAGGCTCTCAGGAATCCCCAGCGGTCTTCAGATCACACTTGGAGAACCTCTGGTCTAGGTCATTAGCTGTATTGTCTCATTTAGTGTCATTGTCTCGCGCGTCTCATTCTTCCTACAGAGTAACCTCCGGACCCTGGCACACTGATTTAGAGAAATGTCACAGTGAAATTATTTAAAAACAGTCCCGCAAGCTAGGAAGGTTAAAAACTTTTGGAATAATTAACACTCTTTTTCAAGAAGCTTCACTACTGTAAATTATGTTTTATTTTCAAATACACGCTCTTAGTATTTATTTTATTGTGGTAGAATACCCATAACATAAAATTTATTATTAGTGACATTTAGTACATAGACAGTGTTATGCAACCATCACCGCTGTCTAGTTCCAGAACATTTCATTACTCCAAAAGGAAACTCTGTACCTATTAAGTAGGCACTCCCTATTCCCCTATGACCCTAGCCCTTGGCCACCACTAATTTGCTTTCTGTCTCTCTAGATTTGCTAACTACAGATATTTCATATAAATGGAATCATACAATATGTGGCCTTTTGTGTCTGGCTTCTTTTGCTTAGTATCATGTTTTCAAGATTCATCTATGTTATAATATGTATCAGTACTTCCTTTCGTTTTATGGCTAAATAATATTCTGTGGTATGGATAGACCACATTTTGTTTATTCGTTCATTCATGGATGGACATTTGGGTTGTTTTCACCTTTTGGCTATTGTGAACAGTGCTGCCGTGAGCATTCATGTATAAATTTTTGTTTGAACACCTGTCTTCAATTCTTTTGCCTATATGCCCAGGAGTGGAATTACTGGATGATATGGTAATTCTATGTTTAACTTGTTGAGGAAACTCTCAGTATTTTTAAAATTAGTTTTGTTTTTGTTTTTGTTTAGCTGCTAATGCTTTCTTGGAGGGTGCATTCCCAGGGCCATAAGAGTGAGGCAGGGAAGGGAGGAAAAGCAAATGTGTACAACTAATTAGTCTTTCTCAAAAAAGATTTATTTTTACATACCCATACTACCAGGATTGTGCCAAACAAAGTTAAGAGGATGTATTCTTCTTTTTACTAAACAGGGAACACTACTTCCGGCGGCCACAAGGGATGCTGCTCCTCAGGTGCCATCTGAAACGAGCTCTTCCTCAGAAGGTTTCCTGTAGGTTCTGGGCCGTGATGGGGAAACTGCAGAGCAAACTCAAACACAGCACTTATAAATACAGGTACAGCAGTCCTGCCTGGGGATCCCAAGATTTATCATGACCCGTTAAAATTCTCCACTAAAGAAAGAGAAGGCCCAGGGGGAGTATTGATGACCTTCCCTGAGTAGTCAGTTCTGTCTGTTTTCTTTTGATAAGAAGCAGCTTATTAGCTGGTGTCTGCAGCCACACAGAGAGGGGTACTGCGTCTTTGGGAATAATCTCTAGTGTGAGCAAAGACCACCAGCTTCTTGCCTTCAGGATTCCCCTTTATCAGATTCCATTCATTCAGTCATTCTGAGCATTTTCAGAGTTAGTAATACCCTTTCTGGCAAAGTCAGTGGGTCTCCTTTCTCTACTCCTTTTCCGTCTTTCTCAGGCTGCCCCGAGTTGCTACTGTAGCTCACGCTCGTCGTCCCCTTGCTCCACTGTGCGCTCCCATACCACTGGGCCTCTCATCTTCCACCCTGTCTTTGGCAGGCCTGATGGAATTACAGAAGAGAGAATTCAGACTAAAGCTTTTCAAGAGTATAGCCCAGCCCACGTGGATACCGTCTCCGTTGTTGCTGCTCTGAACTCAGACCTTTGTGTCTCTGGAGGAAAAGATAAGGTGGGGTGTGCACTGCTTCCCAGGGAACCACCTTACCGCGGAGAAGGGAAGGTATTTGGAAAGGAAGCGCTGGTTTTGCATTTCTGGCAGCAGTGCTGAGTAGTGCAAATATAGGAGATTTAGAGTTAGAGGGACTCAGTTTCAATCCCTGCTCTGCGACTTCCCGTTACTTTGGGCAATTTTAATTTTCTTGAGTTTCAGTCTCTTTGTCTATTAAATGGGGATAAGAATGCCAACCTCACAGGAGAGTTGTGAAGATTAAATGGTAAGACCCTTAGCCCTGTGCCAGACCACTCACGTGCTCTTTATAAATGGCAAGTATTATTACTCCAGTCAATGCATTTTTACACCTATACACAGACACCAGAGTTATTTGTCGTCAAAAGGAGCCTTCTAATCTCACCTTTTATGCCGCTCTTTTGCCAAAATCTCTAGTTGGTGTGTATCATGCTTCCTCCCTCCTCTGTTTTTGCCCTTCCTCCCACTGTCACTTTGAATCTGGTTCCTTTCTCTCCCTCACATTTGGATCTGTTGTAACTCTCACAGCTCAGATATTCGTAGCAAAAGTGTTGGTTCTTGTGTAGTAAACGATGCCTCTCGTTTTAAGTAGCCTTTTAGAATCTTCAAATTCCATTTTCATACTGTATTTCACTGATTCTAAGATGCACATGTTTTCACATTTTAACACCTCTGAAATCAGTAGGCATCTAAAAATTGGTGATAAAGCATGGTACCATAGTTTAATTGGCAGCATTTTGTCTTCAAATCTGTTATCTTCGATGTAGGAAATGTTATTTCTATGATCCTCCCCTGTGAGGGGTGGAAATGGCAAGATTATCCTCCTCGTTTTGCAGATTAAGAAACTGAGATTTAACTAGGTCAAGTGTAACTTGCTCCTTACTCTCCAGCAATTAACTATGGTGACTGGGCTGGAGAAATCCTGGTTGGGGGAGGAATGCTTACAACAAAATATTAAAGTGTATACAGGGAAAAGGGATGGAAAGAAAATTTTATCAATGATTCTCTGGCAGATGGGATTATGGATGATGTTTTTGGAAATTAAAAAAAAGTGCTTTTTCACAACAATGTGAATACATCAACACTACTGAAGTATATGCCTAAAAATGATTAAGATGACAAATTAAAAAAAAAAACAAACCCGGAGCTGGCCCGGTGGCGTAGTGGTTAAGTTCGCATGCTCCACTTCGGTGGCCCAGGTTCGCAGGTTCGGATCCCGGGCATGGACCTATGTACCGCTTAGCAAGCCACGCTGTGGCAGGCGTCCCACATAAAACAGAGGAAGATGGGCACAGGTGTTAGCTCAGGGCCAATCTTCCCCAGCAAAGGGAGGATTTGGCAACAGATGTTAGCTCAGGGCTAATCTTCCTCACACACACGAAACTAATATAAAAGTATGATACAGTTAGGGGGAAAAAATATCTCATCTCATGTAGAATTCTCCTTCAGCATCTACAACCAGAACCTCATCCTGAATCAGTTCCCCTTGGGGAGTGTTAGCCCCAAACCCATCAGTGAGGCTCAGAGGAGTGGCCCAGGGTCTCGGGAAGAGACAGAGGAACGATCAGGAGGAAAGAAAAGAAACTCAAAGTAGGGGGTTGTGAGGAGGGACACAGCGTTAAACCCTAACGCTCGATGCAGGTCCCTTGATGAAGAGGGAGAAACTAGGTAGAGAATGAAGTGAAGGCTGCTTGTTTCAAGTTAACAAAAATTCAGTTAAACTGAAATATTCAAATGCCTCTCTGCAGACAGTTGTGGCCTACAATTGGAAAACTGGAAATGTGGTGAAAAGGTTCAAAGGACACGAACGTGAAATCACCAAGGTAATTGTCAACGATTATTACCGTGGAGGGCTTGGGAGCCGAGTAAAGGCGTATCTAATAGCTCTAGATAGTACGAGTGGTTGAATTTCAGTCTTAAGGAAAAATGCAAGGGCTTCTTTAGATGCCGCAAAGCCCTCCTCTGGGAAAAGCAGTGCAAGCCCCTCCCTTGGCTGTTGCTGCAGGTGGATTGGACACAATTTTTCTTCTGTTGAGCCCATAATAGCTCAGGCAGTCTCCCTGACCCATCCTAACTTGATAGGGCCGTGTATTGAAGGCTTCCTGTGTGTTTACTCTAGCTAGAAAAGTGACAAAATCTCTACGCTCAGGAACCTTCTAATCTAGTCGGGGAAATTTTTTAAAAGCCAGTAACAGTTAAATAAAAATTAATTTGTTCAATAGCATTTACAGAATAGAGTGAGCTTCCAGCAAAAATGATAGAGAATGCCAATTTATATAACTCCCCTCTCCCAAGTCCACCTGAATGAACCAAACATTAAGGTGCAAACTCCAGGGGCTGGCCCCGTGGCTTAGCGGTTAAGTGCGAGCGCTCTGCTGCTGGCGGCCCGGGTTTGGATCCCGGGCACACACTGATACACCGCTTATCAGGCCATGCTGTGGCAGCGTCCCACATAAAGTGGGAAAGATGGGTACGGATGTTAGCTCAGGGCCAGCCTTCCTCAGCAAAAAAAAAAAAAAGAGGATTTGCATGGATGTTAGCTCAGGGCTGATCTTCCTCACACACACACACAAAAAGGTACAAACTCCATCATAATGAAACTAGGCATCAGCCACAATGCCATAGCACACAAAATGATATTTCCCAAAATGCCGGACACGGGGCATCAGATTGAGAGAGAACACAGGCTCTAACACACTTATCCCCAGGTCTTTTTCCCAATTTAAAGTCTGATCAGACAAGTACACCAGAGCTTTCTTTTCTTGAGCAGATAGCCTGTATTCACAAGTCAGACCAGTTCTTCAGCGCCTCTCGTGACAGGATGGTCATGATGTGGGACTTGCACGGTTCCTCACAGCCAAGGCAGCAGTTCTCTGCCCATGCCATGGTGGTCACTGGATTGGCTGTGAGTCCAGGTAAAGTAAAGCAGATCTCTTCCCAGTGCTGTTGTTTTTTTGGAAAAGCCCTGTTCCAGGCCCATCTCACAGACCTTCTTCTTGCCATTGTTTCAAAGACTCGTCACAGCTGTGCACTGGCTCTCGGGACAACACCCTGCTTCTGTGGGATGTGGGGACTGCACAGTGTGTGGAGAGAGCTTCTATCTCCAGGAACCTGGTAGGGACTCAATCTGGGTACAGAGCCGGGCCGCAGAAGGGAGTGTGGGGTGAGGGGAAGGGCCTGGCAGCGAGATCAGGAGACCACGACCAGGTGTAGACGCATAAGCTTGAGTCCCAATTACTGCTCCTGCCTAACTCTGTCAGAGCCTGGCCTCCCAGGGGTGTGGGATTAGCTGGTCTCTTCAGGTCTCTGCTCCAGAGAACAATTCTGCTAGTTTACACTGGAATTTTAAGTGGTGTCCTCATTTATTCTTTCAAAACATAGTCATCCCGTTTCTTCTGTGGGCCAGACACTGTGCTAGGAGCAGGGTTAGTGACCCAGGACACAGTCCCTGTCCTCCAGGAGCTCACAGCTTATGCTCTGTGTTCTGTGTATGTAACATTATGCAGAGAAGTATTACCTTTGGCTTTCTGTATAATTTGCTGCATTTATGAAAACCAGTGTTTTCTGGTAGAGGACTGGTGTATAACTCCACAGCCTTTGGGGTCAGTCATACCTGGGTTTGAATCCTGGATCCATCACTTTTTAGCTGTATTACCCCAAGAAAGTTAAATAGAGTCTCAGTGTCTTCATTTATAAAATGAGGAGAATGGTGTCACCTGACGTGGTGGTCATCAAATGTCAGCCATCGTCATCTTTGCCAATTTTGAAGACAACTGTCAATGGCAAGACGTGCCTGCCCTTTGCCCTCTGTATTTGTGGAGGTTGCTGGAAGAAAATCTTGGTGCCTTGCATCGTTTTGAAAACTGTTTCGTGCCTGTCCAGCAGGGGGCTGCAGGGATAAAGAGACACAAGAGCGTCGAGAGCACCCTTCCTGAACCCTGTGAGGCCTTAGACTAGGATTTCAGTGGTCCCGCTTTAGGACAGGGGCTGTGCTCCTTAGCTGTCGCCGGCCACCGGTTCTCTAGCATGTGTTTGGGTTTCAGGCACTCTGAGTGCTGCGTGCATTTTGGGACTCACAGCTGGCCAGCTGCTGTCCTTGCTGATAACCTAGGAGATACAAGTAGAGCATGACTGGTGGGTGGGTATCTGCAAAATAAAATCCCTCTAAGTCAAATTACTAGTTCAGCGTCCTTGAGAAGTGGTGCAGAGATGCTATTTAGCACAGTTTAACAGGAGTTACAGCAGAGCAATGACTTGGTATGGAGATGTTTTGAAAATTTTGCTTCTTCCAGGTCACTCACCTGTGCTGGGTCCCTAGAGAACCATATATACTGCAGACTTCTGAAGATAAAACCCTCAGGTGGGCTAACTGAGCGGCAGTGAAGGTGTTTCTGGTGAAGGTTTGTGGCTCGCATGCTTACGTGACTCCATCCCCACTCTGCTTCTCCACATTGCTGTGCCCTTCCCAGGGCCTTCCGCCCCTCTGCCCCCTGCTGGTGCTGGCACCTCTCTGATCTGGCCCCCTGGATCGTCTGGGTAGAGGTCGAATGCCAGGAGGTCAGGCCAGGAAAAAGCCCCTGTTCTGGATGGTTTTGAAGCACCTGATGCTAGCAGCTCCTGCTGTGTGAATGTGTTCAGATTAACCTCAGGATCAGTCACTTGTTTGTCCCACCCCTCAGGCTGCCTGGCTTTACTTGCTCCCCCTGCTCAGCCCCTGATGTTCTCACTCACCCAGCCCTCAGGGGAAGCCCTCCCAGAGAAGGAGCTTCAGAGTCACCATCAGGGGAGTCAAATTAAATCATTCTCAGTCTAGAAAGCACTACTAGAAACTTTGGATCTCAGAAGAGATTTTACTCAGAAACTGGTAGGAACGAGGTAAAGAGGTAAAAATGAGGAGAGAGGTGAAACACAACACTCCCCAGTGGACCCCATGGCCCAGGTTTCCCAAGGCCTGTAAATCTTTGTATCATAATAAGTATCTTTTTAAAAAAATTGAAATCATAGGCACAGAAATATCCTCTTGTCTGTTGAAAATAGTATCCCAAAGGACCAAATTAACAAATTAACTTTGTACAATTAAGATGCTTGCTCTAAATTCCTAGTAACTAGATCTCAAAATAGAAAGAACTCAGATATCATTCCATTTGGTTATTTCCTGCTGGCTTTGGAGTCTCTGCGAGTGATCTAGTTCATGCTGCTGTTTTTAGGTAAATCATGACATTCCATTCTGACTGGCTGAGCAGCAAAGAGCCAAGCCTTTCACGTTAGCAGGCTCTTACAGGCGTATTTCAGACACATTTACTACAGACTCATCTCCTGCTGTAATTTCTTTCAGATTATGGGACAGTCGGGGGCTGCAGGTGGCTCATCTCTTTCCCGCAAAGCAGCATATTCAGACCTACTGCGAGGTCAGTGAGGATGGACACAAGTGTATCTCCTGCAGCAGCGGCTTCGGAGGGGAAGGCTGTGAGGCCACGGTAAGAGATTGTGAGGACTCCCGGTGTCTGGTTGCTGATAAGCAAGTTACTTGCTCTGGCCTCGTGTCTGTCCTGGGCTGTACAGGCAGGCTCTCCTAATGGCTCAGACCTATCCCAAGTACATACTGAAGGTGATCTTTGCATTCCAGATGCTTCTGTCAAGAAACATCTGTTAGCTTAGGGCTCTCTGAATTGATCGTAAAAAAGAGGAATGGGATGGAGTCAAGATAGGAAGGCACTAAATGCAGAATGGGCCTGCTGATGTCCCTACTCCCAGCAGAGCTTAGAAAGGAGAGGGATTGTTTGAAGAACAAGTGTATTCCCATTGTACATGTGGTCACAGCAAAGAAGGTTCAAACTCTTCAGGAAGTTTGGAACTCCAGTGTTGGTCAAGGGCCCACCCCATCCATTACCCAGATACCTTTCCCTGCAATTAATTTCAGGATAGATTGTCTAGGATCCTCCAAAGTACCTTCGATTCCTAGTTGTAGAATATCAATTGAAAGGGTTATCTAGTATCCAAAGAGAACAATTTATGACTCCCATTTTATCAAACATTTATTATGTGCTAGACACTGGTCTGAGCACATTACATGCATTATCTCATTTAATCCTTAAAACAACCTCATGAGTTAGGTACTATTATAATTCCACTTTTACAGATAAAGAAATAGAGGCATGGCAAGTTGAAATCTCTTGTACAAGACCACATCTCTAGTAAGTGTAGGTTGAGGCATTGAATCTCAGGCTCTTGATGTGGCATCTCTTCTCCAAGCTAAGCATTTCCAGCTCCTACAACTGTTGCTTGGATGATGTGGTATCCAGTGATTTCATTATTTTTTGGACACAATTCAGTTTTCTCTCCTCCCTGAACATTATTCTCCTGGTGTGGTCTGATCTGTATCAACAAAAGTGGGACTGGTGGAAGTATCACCTCCCTTATTGTAGACTGTGGTCTTCCATATAACCTCTGGTGGTCATAAGCTTCAGCGTCTGGTCATTAAATCAGAAGGTCTGCACCTGTATGTACTTAGGAGAAGGTGCTCCTAACTGTGGGGTCCCCACAGGACCCACAGATGCCAAGAGGTTGATAAAAGGCAGCTCTTGAACTGTTGTAGAAAGTAGGCCACCCCATCCTGTCCCATCATGCTGTAGGACTTGGAGCTTTCACTTCCCTAACCATGATGTTAATGAGGAAGGCAACAAGCTTTCTGGCACATCCTTAACCACGGTTGTTTGAGACATAGTTGATGCTTAAAGTAATCACTGGATGGATGGATGGTTGGGTGTGTGGATGGGGTGGATGGAGATAAGGGGTGGCTACATGAGTAGGTAAGTGGAGGGAATAAGGGTGAGAGTGTGAGGCGATGGATATCAGCGAAGGAAGCATGTGCGAAGCTGGAGAAATACATATGTATGAGCTAGCCTATGTCATTACTTTGCAGCTGTGGGACCTAAGGCAGACACGGAACAGAATATGTGAGTATAAGGGGCATTTCCAGACTGTTGCATCCTGTGTCTTTCTACCAAGAGCATTGGCCTTGATGCCTGTGATTGCTACCTCATCACATGACTGCAGGGTGAAGATTTGGAACCAAGATACTGGAGGTAAGGAGCCTGCTGTTAGTGCTTCTCAGAGACACATGAAGTCCTAAAGGCTTCCTTAAAACTCTTTTCTTTCCATTGCTCAGCATATACAAAGCCACCCATGTCCTGTCACTCTCTAGTCCCCTAGTGGTTAAGAGATGATGCCAAGATGTCAGAATCTCTGTTCAACCTCTGACTAAAAGCCATCACCACGTAACCCCTGGTAGCATGCTGTACAGACTGATTCCTGAGAGCTCAAATATATTTGGCTCTTATATTTTTTATACCTGAAGTTCTTCATCAGGTTTTAACTTGTGATGCTCAAAATGTCTGGAAAAGAGAACAAGAATTGCCAATTTTAAATTCATTTTTCAAGGACTAAAATGAGAGCTTGGCTCTTGGTGGGGGGAGGGGAGTAAAGATAGTCTCAGAAAGACTGCACTGTTTTGACTCTGCAGCTAAGGTTTGAGATCATAGTAAGGTCATGACGTTTCCCAGCACCAGAGGAAACGATGTTTTAGGGACCATAGCTCCCCAGGCTCCTCGAGGCAGTGGTGTGCCGGAGCCGGCTCCTCCTGGCCGATTGTAAAATACTCAGGAATATTTAATACGGTCACCCTGGGAGTGTTTACACCACGAAAATTGGCAAACACTGTGAATAAACGTGGTGGTTGTTTTTCTTCCAGAAAGCCAATTTACCAGCACCCCACTGCCTACCTGTTATCCTGTCCTGAGCACAGGTTTCTGCCAGACACAGGACTAGCATTAATTTAGAGAACCTCAAACCAAATCCCTTCTGCAGGAATCTTCCAGGAACTCTACTCCCCAGAAGGGGAGGATAGAGCAGTCTCCCAGAGAAAAGATGTGGGATCATGTCTACTGGCACGCAAGCCAAACTTCCCTAGTAAGGACAGCCCTGCTGTGCCCTCACCTGGACTTGTCTCTCCAGCCACCCAGGTGTGACAGTGGGGAGAGCAGCTGTTTTAGATTCAGTGATCATACACCTGAGATCAGGGAGAACCAGGTCTGAAAGTGCTGCCCTGCCCACCAGGTGTGTGCCTGTGGTTCTTAGAAGAGCAGCCTCCAAGATGTGGATGGAGGGAGACTGGGTCAGCTGGAAACCCCCAGACTGTCCCCCCATTGTCCTTTGTCTTGAAGGGAGCAAGTCCCCGGGAAGCCAGCAGCTGAAGATCAGTATCCTTATCTGTTTTTCACTTCCCTGGCCCCTGCTTTGTTCTTGTTTTTTTTTTTTTTTTGGCTGAGGAAGATTGGCCCTGGGCTAACATCCATGCCCATCTTCCTCTACTTTATATGGGACGCCGCCACAGCATGGCCTGACAAGCGGTGTGTCGGTGCACGCCCGGGATCCAAACCCACGAACCCCGGGCTGCCAAAGCAGAGTGTGCACACCTAACCATTGCGCCACCGGGCCGGACCCCCTGCTTTGTTCTCTGGGCTGGTAACTGAGGGCCACTTTTTAACAAGTCCTTGCAAGTGAGGCCCTGATTGTCTGAACATACTTGTAGGTGGTGTACATCCTGTTGGGTCCGAGTGCCATTCTCTGTAGTTGAAGTCTTGGGGTGGCCCAAGTTCTGACCTCCCCGCTGGTGCACGTTCCTCTGAAGCATGCGGTGCCCCTCTTATCTGGGTTAGATACTGGTAGCACAGGCTTTATTGACGGGGACTTCTCAGAGGGACATTGCACTCTTGGCCTCCCCTGCTGGTTCTGCCTTCCTCCCCCAGCTTGCCTTTTCACCTTGTCTCTGGATGGATCAGGACCTTTGACTTCCTTGGCTGTTGGCGACACCATCTCCTTATTGTGTGCAAGTTTCAGCAGAGGAATTCACTTACTCAGAGTGGACCACGGCCGAGGGCTGGAACTGCGGGAAGTGGCAGCGTTCTGAGGCCAAGAGACATTCACTGGACAATATCAAACTGCAGCCCCCCCTTTCTCAGTGTGGCTTTGTTTTTGCATGTTACCTGGAGGGGAGGGTGATGTGGGGCTGGTGTTCTTTGCTTAGTTTCACTTAGAGGGTAAATCAGTGTTAGAAGGCAATTTCTTCTGTTAGAAGAAAATCAGGTGCAGAGTTTAGAAACATGGACTAAACATAAGGTTTTCAATCAGAGTTAAATCCAAAGGCAATTTTTTTTTTTTTTTTTTTTTTTTTTTGGTGAGGAAGATCAACCCTGAGCTAACATCCATGCCAATCCTCCTCTTTTTGCTGAGGAAGCCCGGCCCTGAGCTAACATCTGTTGCCAATCCTCCTTTTTTTTTTTTTTTCCCCCAAAGCCCCAGTAGATAGTTGTATGTCATAGCTGCCATCCTTCTAGTTGCTGTATGTGGGAGGCGGCCTCAGCATGGCCGGAGAAGCGGTGCGTTGGTGCGCGCCCGGGATCTGAACCAGGGCTGCCAGTAGCAGAGCGCGCGCACCTAACCGCCAAGCCACGGGCCCGGCCCCCCAAATGCAATTTTTAATGAGATTTTGGAACTGTTCTTCAAAAAAACAAGTTTATGGCTCAAAATGATGACCTGTAGGTGTGATAGGCCTCTGTCTGTGAGGCAGAACACAAAGTCTGAGCCTATTGAACTGACCTTTTCCATGTCTCCACAGAAGAAAAAAATGGAGTGGGAGAGAAACTGTTTTGGTTGCCTCAGAATTGTCTAGATGGGGAAGAATGGGGCAGCGCCATAGACGAAATGGATTGCAGACATGAGATTGAGCTCCAATTGCTGCTCCTCAGCAGCGTGAAGAATCAGAGATGGGGCAGGAAAGCAAAGCCTTGGCTTCTACTCGGAGTAGTAGCAGAGCGAGAGGTGGCACACGCTGTCTGCTTCTGGTACCTTCCGAGACCGGTGCTGAGGGTACATGAAAATAAGACATGGGCCGGCCCCGTGGCGTAATGGTTAAGTGCACGCACTTCGCTGCTGGCGGCCTGGGGTTGGGACCCCGGGCGCGTGCCGAGGCACTGCTTGTCAAGCCATGCTGTGGCGGCGTCCCATATAAAGTAGAGGAAGATGGGCACGGATGTTAGCCCAGGGCCAATCTTCCTCAGCAAAAAAGAGGAGGATTGGCATTGGATGTTAGCTCAGGGCTGATCTTCCTCACAAAAAAAAAAAAAAGAAGAAAGAAAAAGAAAATAAGACCTGGGCTGGCTTGAAGTGGCTGACAGCCACAGGGCCTTCTCCAGAGTTGTAGGAGTCGTCAAACCTGTTCTGCAGATAAGGAAATGGAGAAGTTCCAAGATTAAGGCCCAAAAAGTTTCATTTGTACATTTTAATATTTTTATTTAGTTTTATATAAACTCTTTCTTGGGCATGGCCAGAGTGAGGGAAAGGGAGTCTCTGCAATAACAATAGAATGTAGAGAAAAGAGTAGAGGATGGACTCACCTGTGTGCCATTGAGTCCCCCTCAGTGAGGAAGGGCAGGGTGCTCAGGTCTGCCTGTGTGGCCCCCAGGAGGTCAGTCTGGTGCTCACAAGCCCATTTTCCTCCAAGGAAAGTAGAGTCCCTCCTGCCTTCAGGCGAGCCCACACATAAGGCCACTGAGGCCTGGAGATTCCCTTTCTGATGAATCCCAGCCAAAGAAAGATTTTGCGTTTGTCTTCTCTCGCCCCTGCCTGTCCCTGACCCCAGGGGCTGACAGCCGTCTTGTCCCCTTCTGCTCCTCCTTAGGGCCTGCTCCCCAACGCCGTCTCCACGGACGGGAGGAGAGCCGTAAGCTAGTGCACAGCGTCAGGCCTGAGTTTGAATCTCCTCTTCTCCATTTAGCTGGATGATCTTGGGCAAGTTGTAAAATCTCAGCTTCCTCTTTATAACATGAAGCTCATAATCGTACGTTCCTTGCAGGGCTGTTCTGAGGACTGGTCGTGACTATTAAATGCCAAGCAAGGTAGTGGGAGCTTGCAAATGGTAGGCACAGTTATTTACTGCCCTCTCTGTGCAGACGAAATGCTCTCCTTTCCACACGAAACAATTCCCGTTCTTTCACCCGTTCTCCTTAGATCTTATCTTCTAAACCTGTAGTCATTGTTGGGCTTCCCTTTAATCCCTTCAGTTACGGATCTTTGAGCTCTGGAAGAACAGAGGGGAAGTGGGAGAGGAAGCTACTTCATTGAGCACCTACAGACGGCTGAATACATTTATTCTCACTACAATTCTTATTGTTATTTCCATCTCACAGATGAGGAGGCTGAGGCCCAGGGACATGCAGTCCTTTGCCCAAAGTTATACACACACAGGTAGGAAGGAAAAGAAGAGATTTGAACCTGGGTCTGCCTGACTCAAAGCCGGAATATTTTCTTCCCCACTCCTTTGCCTTTGCATGATGTCACAAAGTTCATTTTAGAGATTTATAGACCATGACACTGTTTGTGTATTTTCTAGACCAGTTTGTTAACTTTTTGGCTCCAAGGAGATCCTCCTGGCCAGGTGCCTGGGAGCAGTAGACAGGTGTCTCAGGGAAAGTCCTAGTGTATCCTGAACTGTTAGTGCTACGGCTGACTCTCTTCTAGAAGGAAGACAGGCAGTAAGTCAGGAAATCCAAGGGAGTGGGTTGGGAGGGGGTCCTAGGGTTGGGAACAGGCTGCTTGCTGTGAGAGGGGACATACTTGTCAGAAAACAGTAGGCCTCTGATGAATCAGCAGCGTTCTGTTACCAATAAAATTGTGTCCCTAAACTCTGCACATGTGCTTGATGTAAAAATTCCTTATCTGTGCATTTTAAGTAGAAAATAGATTAATAAATTTTTATAGGATTTTTTAGTCTTATATGCTCTAAGCAGGTATTCTCAGCACCTAAAATACAGGCTGCTAAAATGCATTCATTCATTTGTTGAACATGCATTGAACACTTCATTTGAGAGGCTACCTGTCTAAATCATATAAAGGAATTTTCCAAAGACAGTTGACTTCTCCAGGAAAGTTATACACTCTTGGAATCTGGCCAATTATATATTTAAAATTTAAAGAAATTTATATATTTATAATCTAAACAAATTTATATATTTATAATTTAAATATATTTATATATTTAAGGAAAATGAGTGATGGTTATTAATGCCCTTCATTTTGACACAGGAATTACAAGCATAGAACTCAGGTCACTTGGTGTTTTTAATCTTTTAACACTGAGAAAAAGGAACTTAGCTATTTGTAAGTGGCCTTTTGAAAACATCATTGTTAAAGAACATCTTCGTGACTGAAAACGAGGCGGCCTGCTAGTTGTTTCCTGAAATTGGCACAGGCTGCCCAGCTAAGACTATGTTCCCAGCCAGGCATAGCCGTGAGAATAAGTTCTTGTCAGTGGATGGTGAGCGGAAGTGCTGTGTGTAACTTCCACCTTATTAGCTTGAAAGGAACGTGTCTGTCTGGGATTACCCCTCTGGGTCCCTTCCGCTAGCTAGAAGGCAGACTGCCAGGAACCGCTTCAACTGTTGAAGACGGCTGATAGGACAGCAAGAGAGAAGGAACCTGGCCCCAATCACCTTGAGGAGCTGAGCTGCTCCAACAGCCTGATCGGCTGTGACCCGAACGAGGAATGAACCTCTTTCTTGTCAATCTACTATATATATTTTTAACTTTTAATTCAAGTATGGCAATCATAAACAATTTCACACGTCTTAAGCTCATAGCTTGCTGAATTTTCATAAATTGAACACACTCTAGTAACCAGTAGCTAGGTGAAGAAGCATAAAACATCCAGGAACCCAGATGTTCTCCTTCATCCTCCCCTCCAGGCCTATCTGGCAGGGAATTTGTAACAGCATATATTGGTTTTGTTTGCTTTTCTACTTTATATAAATGGAATCATACTTTCTTGTAGGAGATGGAAAATATGGCCTCAAATTTCTCCCACCCCTGTATGTGTGACCTTTCTGCAATGTGACTTCTCACCAGTAGGTAGTAGGATCCGTTTCTCCACCCTTGAATCTGCTCTGGTCTTTTGACTTGGTTTGACTGATAGAATGCAGAAGAATGAACGCTACGCAACTTCTGAGGCTCAGCCTTAAGAGGCCTGGCAGCCTCCCTTCCACCATCTTGGAATGCTACTCCGAGATCTCCATGTCAGGGAGGCGACCTGGGCCATGTGGAGAAGACCTGAACACCACCAGATACATGAACAAGGTCACCTTGGCCCTTCCAACCCTGCCACATCTGCAGCTGAACGCAGCCGCAGATGAAATCAGAAGAGAAACTGCACAGCTATCCCACAGAATCATGAAAAATAAGAAAGCATTGTTTTAAGACACTAAGTTTTGGGGTAGTTTGTTATGCAACCATAGATTTAAGTGAAACAAGTATGTACTCTTATTTTTGGTCAGGCTTCTTTTGCTTAACATAATTTGTGAGGTTGATTCATATTGTTGCATGTAGTTGAATATCATTCCTTCTCATTGCTGTACAATATTCTATTGTGTGAAAATAGTATAATTTATCCATCTAACTACTGATGGGCATTTGGATAGTTTCTAATTTGGGGCTCTAATAAATAGTGCTGCTATGAACATTCTAATAATGTCGTTTGGTGAACATATGCATGCATTTGTGTTCATCATAAAACTAGCGGTGGCCTTTCTGGGCCATAGGGTAATTTGCATGATTGGTTTTAGTAAATACCACCTCTTTTCCAAAAAACTTGTCCCAGTTCACATTCCCACTCACTGTGCAGGGAGTTAGTGGAGTTTTAGCTGTTCCACATCCTTGCCAACACTTGGTTCTCTTAAACTCTGCAACCCTCGGTTTTAAAGATGAGTGTGTAGACATTGACGTGTACACCAGGGAGGTGTGAGCTCCACGAGCCAACATTGGAGAGAAGCTGGACCACCTGGGTTTGATGTCTGCTTTTCTTCCTGACACTTCCAGTTAAGAGGCCAGAATTTAACAATAAAACTTTATACGCATACAGTGCTCTATATTTTACATACTACTGTCACAATCATAATTTCATCTG